CCCCCCCCCCCATATATCACAGGAAAGGGCTAGAGAGTGAAACAAAATAATACCCATCAAGAAGATGAATAGTTCTTTCCCATCCTATACTTTTGGAATAAATTGATTTTTTTTCTATGACCTTATATTTGAATAGAGTATGTTTGAATATTTAGGATTTATAAGTCCTTTTTATTATTTCTTAATTGTGGGAAGAAACAGGCAATAATGAAACTTTTACTATAACTTTTTTTTAGGCTTATGTACACAAGAGTGTAATGGAAGAACTGAAGAGAATCATTGATGACAGTGAAATTACCAAAGAAGATGATGCGTTGTGGCCTCCCCCTGACAGGGTTGGCCGGCAGGTTCGTGTTTAATAATTGTTCAATGTATGTTGTTGTTGTTAGTGCTGTTGAGTTGATTCCGACCCATAGCGACCCTGTATAGGGTTTCTAAGGAGTAGCTGGTGAGCTTGAACCTTTGCAGTTCAAACGACTTTGCAGTCTGATGAATTAGCCCACAGTGCCACACCAGGACTCAATGTTCAATTGGTAATGCAATTGTTAAGTTTCGCCTTACATGTTTGAATCTTGATTGAGTCCTGAGTTTACATTTCATAGTTATCTGATAAATATTTTTGAATATTAACTTGATTTTTGTTACGCTGCATCATAGTAGTAAAGTAGTCAATGCATAGCTCTCAATTTAGACTTCTCTTTGGGTAGCCTTCACCATAGCCACCAGCCAAAATTAGAATGTCTTCACACTATTATGAATAATTTCTGCTGTATGTTATTGGCTTTTATTAGGAGTAGGTACAAGCATTCTTTGTTGGTTCTAGACTTATAATTTTAATAAACTAGGTAAGTTCACTTTCTCCAAATTTATAACTTTTAGAATTTTTATTTGCATTTTTATGTCCCAGAGGAGAATTTGATTGGTGTCTTTGTCTTTTTGCTTCTCATATTCTCTTCAGAGTAATTGATGTTTCTCAAAGGGCTTCTGAAGAACTCTGAAGGCCTAATGTCACTCTGTAGAAACACTGTTTGGTTTCTGAATTGGGTCTTTTCAGCTCTTGGAGAAATGAGATACGAACCCTGGAAGGAAGAAATCTTTAATTTCACTTTTGTCTATTCTTGAGGATTATGCCTTTTATCACCTTCTTTGATGAGAAGAAAATGTGGAGAAATCTAACAGATGCTGACACTCTAGGAGTAATTTAATTCTTCTCTTTAAAGAAACAATTATTTAGGAAAGCAAAGGTAATAATTACCTTATTTATTTTATACATTGTGAACATTTTTTTTAAGAATAAATTTAGACTTCAGTTTGTTTTATGTATATAAGGACTGGAAACAACTGTAGCAGCAAGCTTTTCATATGTTTCAGACTCAGAGAGTCAATACGTCATCTGTTTACATGATGTGTTTATATATCTTGGTTACTGGGGAGGATTGAGTGTGCTCTAGAAAATGTTAGTAGGAGCGATGTCATCGCTTGAGAGTCTTGATTAGTTGTCCATTGGTGTGTATTACAAACTACATAACTTGGTCTGCTGTCCATAACATAGATTGTCTTTAATGGCAGCTGTTTGTCAGTATAGAAATTTCAAAACTTATTACAATTAACAGCCTCTTAATTAATGGTTTCAAGTTTAAAGATAATATAGAAAGAATTCCTGCAGTAACTGTGGCACACTGTAAATATCTACATTGTGTTGTATTTTTTACTAGTTCTTAATTTTAATTGATTTGTGATATCAGGAGTCAAGACTATGGGTTCAGATATCATCATCATGTAGGAGTTTTAAATATCAACAGTTTTTCCAATATTTTATGAGTCTTGGATTCACATTTGTGAAATGAGGGTAGTAAAGTCTAGCTTACTCTAGAGAGTTCACATGTATTTATGTATTTTAGGGATTACTGAGTTTGTTTATAAAGTCTGACACAAGGTAGATACTAAGTGATAGTTACTGTTTGTAACTTAGCCTGATTGAAATAGAAATATGGTTATATTTAACATATTTTGGTTATGTTTTAACATATAACATGTTATATGGTTATGTTTTAACAATAGTGTCACACTCATATAATTGTTTTTTATAACATTGTGCTTCAAAGTGATGCCTTTAGTGTTTACTGATTTTATAAGAAATACTTCTGTGCCGTTCTTAACTATATTACTCATTTCATTATGTAGTATCCACAGTCTGAGGACTCTGGGAAGGAGTGCTCTGTGTGTCCTACAGTTGGGAGTAGTTCCTTAGCAGTCGGTCAGCTTACTTTTAAGGATATAGTTTCATTTCTTATGTAGCTGATCAAGTTTCTCATTTTCCTAATGACTGCTAGAAAATTGGTAGCCAAAATTGGGACCTCTTTTTAGCAAGGAAACAGATAGCTCTGGGATGGAATTCTATATTAGCTGCATTTCTGGATTTTTTTTTTTTTTTTTGCAGGAACTTGAAATTGTAATTGGAGATGAACACATTTCGTTTACAACATCAAAAATTGGTTCTCTTATTGATGTAAATCAGTCAAAGTAAGTATGTTAATCATTTTTGATAAATTATATTAGACTCATTTTTAGACTATAGCCAGTTTGTTTGCTAAGATAATTTTAATAACATCTAATTGTACTGATTTGTAGAAAGACTTGTTATTTGGTTATCCAAGGAAATTAGCAAAGTGTTTCACTGATTGCTAAAAGAACATAACAAAACCCACATTTTTATTCTATATTGATGTATAATAATATTAAAAATTTGTTAATTACTAGGTATAAGGAGTCCTGGTATAGTTTATTCTGGTAGGCTATGTTCAAACCACCAAGTGCTCCTCAGACATCAACAATTAGAACTAACTTGCTGGCACTGTAACAACAATAAATTATTTATAAAAAATCTGGATATGGTATCACAAAATTTGAAGACTTTAAATCCTTATAGAATGATATTTGCCTTTGTTAACCCCATATCAAACCATTTCTTGTGTTCAATACTTGAAGGAAATAGAGACTCTTCAGCGAAGCTTATGCCTGTGTCTTACCAAGTTCTCATTGTCCTCTGATCCTTTGTAGCACATACCAATCATTAATTTGGTCTCAAATAGCTTATTTCTGCCTCTAGTCAATTTTTTTCACTTCCTCACCTCAAAAGTATCCCATACTCTTATTTTTCCCTCTCATACTGAATTCTTGTAACTTACTTGTTTGCCTTACTCTTTTGAGAATCTCACTGTATGTCTGTAGAATTAGCTTTCTGCATAACATATAATAGGTGCTTCAGGAATTTTTGTTAGAGACTGTTGTTGTTAAGTGCCATGGAGTTGATTCTGACCCATAGCAACCCAGTATAGGGATTCTGAGGAGTAGCTGGTGAGCTCGAACTGCCAACCTTGCAGTTCAAATGACTTTACAGTCCAGCGCATTAACCCACAGCACCACCCCAGGACTGCGGTGTTAGAGAATAGGAGGAAGGAATGTATGCATAATAACTATTGGAGACAAAAAACTATGTTCATGGTCACCGATAAGAGGGAGAGGGGGAAAAACAGCAATGAAGTTGTGAACTAAGTCAGACCACATTCAATAGACTCCAGTTAACCTGGATTGAGACCTGGTTAAACAGCAGTATGATGAGATCTGGGGTCTCCTGGGCCCAGGGGCAGGAACATGGCCGTAGAGGACTAGAACGGAGTGTAAAGCAGCCAGCTGATATAAAGTGAGGGGGGATGCACAAGAACACCCACCCTTGCAGATAGTACCTATTTCACCTGGCATTAATGGCTGGATGATCAGAACACTACTAGAGGAAGAAAGAAGAGGAGGGAAAAAAAAGGATTAACCTACTTAAGTGGGTTGATCTTAACCTATGGTTGTGGATGCAGTACGATAAAGAAGCCGACAAATCTCTACAGTGAGGATCATTCCCACCCCCTTGGTACACAGGGTCGACAGGAAGGGGGAACTTAGACATTGGCTACCCAAAATGGGAGGACTACAAAGGCAAGAAGTGATTGGCTTACAAGCTTTCAATAGGGAGCCTAGCTCCAGAGGATACAGGGAAAGGTAGAATCTCCACTGAATTGTTTCCAACCTGTCTGGATGGGGTTGATAAAAGGGGAGGGGGAAAGGACTCCTGTGATTCAATAGGGAATGATTGCTATCAGGTCTGACAGTGAGTGTTGGAAAGGTAAATGTAAATGTTTGGTAACAAAAGGAGGGGAGTGGCTGATTTGCTGTCCAGGAGTGGAGATCCCTATAACCATCAAAGGAGAAAAGCAAAGTGTGGGACCGTGTCCAGAGAGGCAGTGACACTAGGGATGGAGGCAGAGGCAATGACGTGGACAGGAGTGGCTGGGAACTGTGGACTCAGGGAGGGAGAGGGGTTGGAGGGGTTGTGTGCTGGCAGCCAGGGGCAGGAGTGGAGTGTACCCTTTGGGTGTTTGATGATGCATACAGGGGATTGTGATCATTGCAATGAAACAGTACGGTAGGATGAATATAAAGATAATGTTCACCCATGTAAACTAACCCATAATTCACAATAAAATCTTAAAAAACCCCAAAAACTATGTTCATGAAGACCAACCAAATGCTTTTAAACTAGCAATTTTTAAATGTCCTTATCCATAGTAGGTGAGGCTATGGCTTTTGTACTCTATGATGGAAGTATGAATTGAACAGTTTTGGGGAGGCAATTTGGTAATAGATATCAAAAACCTTATACATTTTTCATTCAGGTTTGACTTAGTAATTTTATTTCTGGAGTCCTGGTGTGGCACTGTGGGTTAATGGGCTGGACTGCAAAGTCAGCTTGAACCGCAAGCTTGGCGGTACAAGCTCACCAGTATCTCCTCATTAACCCTATATAGGGTCGCTATAGGTCGGAACCGACTTGACGGCACTTCCTAACAACAACAATTTTATTTCTGGGAATCTATCTTAGGCAGACAATCTCAAATATTGGAGCATAAAGATGTTTATCAAAGCATTATTAGTCGTTTAGAAAATATCCAAATGTCTAAGAAGGAGAGAATTGTTAATTAAAACAATTAGTGGATTATTTTGAATGTTATGGAAACAGTAAAATGAGGAGCATGTAGGGAATAATTTCAGTTACGAGTAAGAGAGAAAGACACCAAAATATTTATTGTATTCCTTGAGGGCAGTGGCATTATGAGTATTCATTTTTTTCTATCTTTATGATTTAATATGATTTATAAATTGTAATGATGCATGGGCATTTCTTTTACAAGAAAAACAATTTAAATATGAGCAAGTATAACAACGTAGAAAAGTTTAATTTCATTTTCCTTATAGAAAGGATTGAGATGTTAAAGCTTGATATGTCATTTTCATGGTTTTAGTTTTAGTTTTTGCTTTAGAAACTAAGCAAATTATGTTGTTTGTTCTAGAAGCAACAAAGTAACTTTGACTTTTTAACTCTTTTAGGGATCCTGAAGGCCTGCGAGTATTTTATTACTTAGTACAGGACCTGAAATGTTTAGTTTTTAGTCTTATTGGATTGCATTTCAAGATTAAACCTATCTAAATGTATGCTTTTGAGCTGTTTGTATATTTAATTAAGGGATGGGTAAGGGTGGGTTTGTTTTTTCATTTGTAAATAAACTTAAAAAGGCTTAGTGTAATCCTCACATGGGTCCAAGTGGGCTGGGTAGTCTTTCATATTGTAGATTTTGTACAGAAAAACTACTTGTCATTGAAATTTCATTCCAATAAAACATATCAAAGCCTGGATGAAGAGTATTTATTTCAAGACACTGTCTTTAGTGCACTTTAGAGATAACTAAGACATTGTTCTAGCATATCCATTCTGTGGACATACTAGAGTTTATTTATCAAAGTTTATTCAGGTAAAAATATGTAGCCAGACTTCCAAAGCCTCCCCTCAGCCATGCCCACAGGCAGCCGTCTCTGTCCTGTCACTGTTACAGGCTTATCAGGGCTGCTGATAAATGCCTACAGGACACATCAGTCCACCAAATGCCTGAGGCTGAAGACACTCAGCTCCGGCTCCATGGGTCAGCAAACCCAGCCTCCCAAATTAAGTTCCTGGAGACACCTCACTCTGCAAGCAAGCCTCTTGTCCAAAGTCACTCTGCTTTACCTGCTTCATGGGCTGAATGTCCACTGCTGCTTTGTCCCGTGCTCTGGTTCTTGGCTCTGCTGCTGCTGCTCCTCTGCCACTCCTCCAGTGTCACAGCCTTCTGTCCCTGGGTCAAGGAGGTTCAATGTGAAGTGATCTTAGGGACATGTTCTACTCCTGGTGGTGAGATTAATGGTAGTGAGATGCCCCCTCCTGCGTGTGGGATGGCTCGTTTTATACTCATGCTAGAGTTTCAAGTTTTCATAATTACAGTGAACATGCATAGCTGATTGTTGTTTTATCAGTATCTTCTCCTACCTCTCTTACCCACACCCACCAGGAAAAGAGTCACTTGGTGAGAGTTAAGAAAGATTAAAGTTTGTTGTTGAGTTGATTTGGTTCTGACTTGTAGTGACCTTTTATAGGGTTTCTGAGGAGCTGCTGGTGGGTTTGACCCACCGACCTTGTGGTTAGCAATCCAGTGCTTAGCTTACAGCACCTGACTAAGACTAGAAGAGACATATTACATAATTTACCACCATACCCAGCAACAAAGGTAAATGATTTGATGGTGAACCTGACATCTGCCCGAGCAGATTGCCCAAATGGTGAATGTTAAAATTTGGGAACAACTGCCCAAATGTCTAGCCTCTGCCTTGCTCTTTTTGAACTTCTGTGATAGTGTGCAGAGAGGACTGAGAGAAGAATCAAAATTCTTAATGCTGCTTCAGTAGTTCAATAAGTTTTTTTTTTCAACCTATGACTAGATGGGAGATTTTTTTGGGTCACTATTTCATCTTGTTTACTTAGCTTCTGAAAAGGCCTCATTTGGTTACTTATAAACTGTAGGAAGGATAGTTGGCTGTGTGATTGCAGGAGACACTGTTGGAATAACATGTGGTGATTGCATGCTGTTTAGCCTGTTATGTATAGCATTTCTGAGGCTCTAGTGTGGAGTCCTTGGTGTGGTGCTGTGGGTTAATGCGCTGGACTGTAAAGTCAGTGTAAACCGCAAGGTCGGTGGTTTAAACTCACCAGCTGCTCCTCAGAAACCCTATACAAGGTCACTATGAGTGGGAACTGATTCGATGGCACTTAATGAAGTGTGGTGCTGTAAAATATTGCACTGTACTGCAAGGTTGGCTTGAATTGCAAGGCTGGCAATTTAGCAGCCACTCAGAATACCTAGACACGGTCTCTATGAGTCAGAATCGACTTAATGACACTTAACACCAAATGTTTATGGGAGCAGAAAACCTCATTTTTCTCCCATGGAGTGACTGGTAAATTCAAACTCATCTTGCAGTTAGGAGCCCAACTAGTAGCATATTAAGGTACCAGGGCTCATTTAGGACACTAGGAAATTGGGGATATTAAGGCAGCTTATGTAGTAGTTAAGGAGCTCTGGTAGCGTAGTGGTTACGAATCGGGCTGCGAACCTGAAGGTCAGCAGTTTGAAACTACAAGCAGCTCCGCGGGAGAAAGATGAGGCTTTCTACTCCCGTAAAGATTTACACCCTCGGAAACCTGTACAGGGTCGCTATGGGTCAGAACCGACTTGATGGCACTTAACAACAACAATGTAGTAGTTACAGGAACAGGAATCATTAGTCTTTAGTTTTACTATTGTTAAGTTACTCATAGCAACTCTGTATAGGGTTTCCGAGGCTTTGAATCTTTACAGGAACAGAAAGCCTCATCCTTCTGTGTAGTGGCTGGCAGACTTGAACCACAGGCCTTGTGGTTTATAGGCCATTGCTTATCAAATGGAGTCATCGCACTCTCGGTTTCTACTTTAAGATCCAGGAAATTTAGTTTTTGCTCAGTGGCTTAACAATGAGGCATGAGTACAAAGGAGCATGTAAGAGGGAACCTGACAAGGTGAGATTTCTCCTCCCAAGAGAGTAGTTCAGATGATCTTTCCCTGCATGCTAACTGGTCAGTGTCTTTCACTTAAACCTTGGGCAGGAAGAGCAGTGTGTTGCTGTAAAATGATCAGCCTGATAGGTTTTGAAGTGTGACTAGCAGCTGTGGTTAAGTTAGCTGACAAAATTAGTATTGGTCAGGAAGAAGTGGGTAATCATGTGGTGTTCCAAATAAAAGGTTATTACAGCAAAGCAGCCAGGAAATGTTTGTATACTCATGTTTTGAATGTGTGTTTTGCACAGAAGTGAATCTGGGAGACAGAGTACAAGAATATTCAAAACATTTTTCAGATTTCTCTTTAATAGTGGTTGTGATATATAATGTTTGGTACTTTGATCAGTTTAAATCAGTCTCTTGAAATTATCTTCTCATTGAGAGTTTAGTAATACAAAGAAAGGGCTTAGCGGAAGTAGCTACACAATCTGACTTTCCAATGATTAGTCTCAAGCTGCCCCTCTAAAGCTGAAAATTCGATATTTTAATAAATTCTTCTGTTTATTGAGCACACAATAGAAATCATGTTATGGAAAATTGGAATTAAATGATAAAAGATGTAAAATTATTTCTCAGCAGGCTTTAAGGTTGAAACACCTTGTGTCAGCCTTTTTGTCAATCCATTAAGAACTGAGAGTCCTGTAAATTTAACTTTGTAAATGCAGTCTTTTCTTGCATTATTAACTTTAAAAAACTGGATGCCCTTTAAAGAGAGTTTTAAGATTAGGAAACAGAAAGAAGTCAAAGGAACCAAATCAGAACTATAAACTATATGCCTAATACTTTCCCATTGAAGCTCACAAAACTGTCCTTGTTTGAAGAGAGGAATGAGCAGGAATATTGTCATGGTGAATAAGGCCTCTAGTGAAGCTTTTCTGGGCATTTTTCTTTTCAAGCTTTGGTTGACTTTCTTGAAATAAACATAGTAAGCAAATTTTATTGTTCTTTAGCCTTCCAGAAAGTCAACAAGCAAAATGCCTTAAGCATCCAAAAAAACTGTTGCCATGACCTTTGCTCTTGGACCCCTTCTACCTCTTGATAGCTACTGCTTTGTGCTTTGGTAAAGACATATTTCAGCTCTTGAAATTTCATCTTCCAAGAAATGCTTGAGGATCTTGAACCCACTTGTATTAAGTTTCCGTTGACAGCTCCCCTCTTGTCTGCAGCTGATCTGGTGCAGTAGTTTTGGCACCCACTGAGCAGACAGTTTGCTCAGTTCTAACTTTTAGACAGTGTTGTGTAAGCTGAACCACTTGATGTGTCTAGGCTGTTGACTATTGTTTCTACTGCCCTCTTCAACTGAACAACATGAATTTTTTCTCGGAAATTAATAAGGATGGTCTAGCCACCGCAGGTTTCATCTTCAGCATCGTCTCATCCCTTCTTAGAATAATTTATACATTTGTAAACTGCTGATTTCTTCTGGGCATTGCCCCCATCAACTTTTCATAAAGCATCCATGATTCATTATTTTTCTACCCACGCTGCATCATAAATTTGATTTTTGTTCTTGTTTCACTTTTAGAATTGATGCTGCTCTGATAGGGCCTCTTTGCAAACTGCTGTCTTATCCTTCTTAGTGCCTCAAACTAGATCCTGTTCAGACACGTTATAAAAAGTTAGTATATGTTTTTGCTGCAAAATATTCTTGAATTCCTTGCATAGTTTTTCACAATACGTATTTTCCATGAACTATTTGCCGACCCTTTATATGTGCTACAGTTATAAAACAGCACACCCTTATAAAGTTTATATTATAATTGAGGTGGAAAGTATGTAAAAATGTAAAGAAGTGTGATCCCTCTTTGTCTCACCTATGTCAAGAGAACTAATCACCTTTACAGCAGCTATTCGAATGTCAATCAAAAAGCCCAGCATCACCAATACCTCATGGGACAGGAAGGTATACATACACAGGTCTGAGGCCACAGAATAGTTCTAGAGGGAACTGGAAGCTACCACTCTTCAAGTGTCTACACACCAAACCCAACATAGGAGGGTAGACAAGCTAGTTCAGTGTGGCAGCACATTTGGACTGTGGTCCTAATTCTTTAGCCAATTATAGAACCCTGGGAGGAAAGAGATTTATTGATTTTTGAAATCTAAGTAATCCTGTCTGTAGTACGAATCTCATTTATGAAGTGAGTGATACTCTGAGGAAATAGGCTTGAAGATTTGGAATGACTTGTTCAGAATGTTGTGAATCTTAGAAATCAAGTAAGATTGAATATATAACAAGAGCTTTTTATATACATGTCAAATTCTAGTCAGATATTTTATAGGAATACACACAGTCACTGTACCAAAAATACATAGTTGATGTTCAGCCATTTCAAGAGGTAGCATATGATCAAGAGCCAATGGTACTCAAGGAAGAAGTCCAAGGTGCACTGAAGGCATTGGCAAAGAACAAGGCTTAGGGAAGTGATGGAATGCAAACTGAAACCTTTCAATAACTGATGAAGCAAAGGAGGCACTCATCTGTGCCAAGAAATTTGGAAGACAGCTACCTGGCCAACTACTTG